AGGGTGTTGATTTGTTTATCCATGATAAGGGGTACATCAATGCCCGTTATTTCACACTAAGCAATGGTGATGTCACCATGGGGCCTGTGCCAGGCCAGGTGCACTTTGAGGCCAAGTGAAGTGTCGAAGGCTCACTCAGGTCATGGGACAGACCCAGGTGCCAAGGGCTACAACATCACCTCTTCGACAAGCACGTGCATGCTCATAAAAGTCAATTATCTGGGATTACAAGGATGAGAGAATAGGTCACACGCATCATGCCGCATCAATAGACCAAGGTTATGTTCCTGATAATTACCAGGGACTTTTTATTAAAAGACCTCACATTTAAATGAGCCAACCTTTTTTTGAGATCTTTTTTTTCATTTGTGCTTGAAGGCATGGATAAAGTTACATTTATGAAATTATTTATGTTTTTAAGCGTTAAGGTATTGGCAGAACGGTTTTCCACGTGCAGATTGGTAATAAGAGAGTTCCTAGTAGCTGTTTAGGTGCCATGTACTTGAATAGATGACTGATGCACGAGAATGGTTAGTGAGCTGGATACAGTCAAGTTTAGACCCAATATGACGGCCTTACACATTATGCAAGTATTATGTAAGTATCGATTTAAAGCTTTCGTGACTGCAGGGATTCATATTCTTGGTTCTTTTGGTAAAGTCACGTAGAAGGGAAATACAAATAAAACAATAAAAAATTACATTATGAGACCTCCTTTGCCAGTAACAAGGTATAGTAATAGGTTTTACCCTTTTAACTGGCACAAAAAACTGACACCTTTATTCAAGGCATCATGTCTGCAATAACCGCAACACAAGCAGTCAAAATGCAAACAAAAAGACAACTCTGATAATAATATGCACTGTCCTTGAATTTGATTGGTCCACACCCGAGACGGCTTTCTTTAGAGCCTAGTCTCCACTGGTGTTGGACCAGAAGACGCCAAAAGGCGTACAACTCAAATGAATAAAGGTGTCAGTTTTTTGTGCCAGTTAAAAGGGTACAATAAAAATTCTCACGACGTTTCGATTGCAACACAAGCAACCATCATCAGATGTAAGAACTACAGCAAGAAAATTTTAGCTGAAGTGGGAGAGATGCTGTGGTAAGGGGTTATATAAGTTAGAGAGGGGGGAGGAGCAAGGAAGGGTGGGAGTAGGGGGAGGGTAGCGTTGCGTGGAATGCTACTGGACGGGGGGGGGGAGCGGGCGGGGCTAGAAAGGTGCAGAAAACCAATGCCACTACAGCAAAGCCAATGAAAGACAACAAAGCAACAGTAGCAGACGTTGGAGAAGTGCAAAAAAGCCAACACCACTGGTAAAGCCAATGAAAGACAAAGCAACAGTAGCAGTACTGCCAAACGCTGGAGATGCAATTAACTCGGTAGAATAGACGAGTGCTCGGTAAATATGATGGAACCATAGACAGTTAACGTTTTACCTGGTTAATAGCATCCTTCCAATAATTGCTCAATTTGTATCCATCTTCTCGGTTGAAGTTATGTTTATGTATCTGGATGGTTTCATGACAAACCTTTGATAGTATCCAGAAGGTGTGCAGAGCACCTTAGTCTCATTGCACTATTATACTATTTATTATTATTATACAATCTACTATACACCATACCATTTCACGCGACGGTCAATGGTATGGTGTATAGTAGATTGTATAATAATAAATAGTATAATAGCGTAAGAACCAAAGAGTAATTCCTGCAGTCACGAAAGCTTCGAATCTAGTTTGTTGTCTTTCCTCCGCACCTGAAATTAGTGCTGTTGGCTAAGTACGGTGCGAAAAAAGTTCAACATACATACGTACATGGTGATGATGGCTAGAACATCTGCCTGACGCATGAGATTAGGAATCTTGGGGGGTTCTGTTCTCTTTCCTTTGCGGCGCAGTTTATCTGATATAGATGTATATAGCGGCTTATTCCAGGGTGCTTTACAGCAATTATATAATTTTACATATGATAATGGTTTAAATAAAGTGGGGTTATTAAAAGCGGTGGTGTATTTATTGTGACAGGATAACAGATGGGAGTGGTTAAGGAGGGGTTTATAGGGGTTGTGATAGTGGTTGGGGTACTGATAGGCATTGGGGTAGTGAGGGTTAGTGATAGGAGTCGTGATAAGGGCTGGGGTAGTGATAGGGGTTTGGGCCAGTGATAGGGGTAGTGATAGGTGTTGAGGTAGGCCTGGTCGTAGCACGATGGGCTCGGTGGGAAGATATGGGGGTTGTTTTAAGGGAAGAACGGCAGGTGTTATAGTGAACTTGATTGTTTTTACGTGCAGTCGGAGTTGGTTCCAGTGAAGGGGAGCAAGAGAGAGCGAGACTGGGTGCAGGGTGAGGGAAGCACAGCGAGGGGCGGTAGACTGGGAGCGTAGAGGATGGGGTGGGACAGCATAGTATGAGATGAGAGAAGCAAGACAGTGTGGGGCAAAACCATGGAGGGATTTATAGACGAGTGAGAAATGTAAACTGACAGCGATATTAGACAGGGAGCCAGAGGAGTTGGGAATGTAGAGCAGAAGTGTGGAAATTGTGGGGGAGGTGAAAAATTATCCTGGCCGAGGCATTTTGTATCAGTTGAAGAGGAGTGAAGACCTCGTATTTCTGACAAAAATTGCTCAAGTGTGTCTTTATTCCATCTACCAATGCAAAGAGGTTGGTACAGGCATTTGTATTCTCACAATACATTTGCTTGGGGTCCCAAATAAGGTATTTGGCAAGTTAAAGACTGTAGAATGCGGCAGCACTGAGACGGCTCTATACTAAAGACCACTGATGATCCCTACAAGATCATGGACGACTAAACTCCCTAGCTGTGAACATCAGGCTCCCAGATAGTGTTGATATCCTGAAAAAAAGTTACTTTTAAGAGGATTCAGCTCATGCCGTGTTCAGCAAAGCTCTTCATTAGATGACCCACAGATAACGTCCCCAGTCATACACCAGGTAACACACCACGCTCCAGCACTCCGCACTCAGAACTCCCTCCTCTCTCGCTCTCCTCGTTTATTCCCTGGTCCGCATTCCTTGCCAGTCAATCGTTTTCCAGGGCTTTGTCCCAGAAGATAACTCACTGACCATGCATCTCTCAGTCTCCTAACCTATCTTTCCTCTGGGCTTCTTCACAGGTGATAATTTATTGGCCAGGCGCCGCCGAGCCTCCAACAATTTTTAAAGGTTTTATCGCAATCAGTTTTCCTCTGGCTCTTATTTTGCCACCCTGTTTCGTTATCTTGCTCTTTTCATGCATGGTGCCTTGATACGTTGTATTTTTTATTTCGATTTTTTATTTAACGAGAGATCGATAAAAAAGCATAAACCAGGACAAGGGGAGGCACAAACTCCACGGACGTGAGACATTGTCAAAGGCACCCCTAAGTGCAAAGTATTAATATTGTCTGGTGTTTGTGGCGCATGAGGCCACCTAGTGATAGAACATGGGAGTTGTGTATGGTGTGCACACAAAATAACGACAAACCACACAAGTCTGGTCACCATACGACTCCACGCATCATACACGTGCAAACGATGTCGCGGACCAAATACGTGAGATGCCAGCGACTCACTCCACCGCCACCACTCCTGTAAATGTTTCCTGGCTTTGTTGGCAAGTAGGGATTGCGGTCTAGGATGTGGAGTGCACCTAACGGGCTCATGTCTCTGTTGTGATAATTATGTTTGTGCTCTTTACTTTGGTGCCATTTCTTAATTTGTTTATTCATTTTAGATTTTAATTGGTAGCAGGGTTTTCATTTGCTTTGTATGTGTTGGACTTCTTTTGTGCCGTATGTAGCCAATCGAATATATGGGATTTGTTACTTATATATAAATACAGTGGTGTGGCATGCTGTTAGCATGAATGATGCTATATAAAATGAAAGTATTATTTAAATATTACATTGGTTTTATCCTAACATTTCTGAATTAATGAGAACTAGAGATATAGCCTGGAATAAAGCTAAAACATCAAATAATATCTCTGATTTGATTAACTATACAGTAAGATTTAAAGCTTTCGTGACTGCAGTAATTCATATTCTTAGTTTTTTCGGTAAAGTCACGTTGAAGAGAAACAACAAAATAATAAAATATATATAAAAACAATAAAAAAAATTCTCACGACGTTTCGACCATAACTCAAACGGTCGTCTTCAGGTGTGTTGGTTCACATAAATTTATTTTTAAACGGCGCATTTATTCATTTATAAAAAACGTTAGCGCCACGCGCAACGATTTGGCAGTTTACCCAGGACTAGTCCATCTATATTCTGATTGTTCACGCTTACAGTGGCTTTCAGACAGCATACATTATAAAAAATTTCGTCTCCCCCCTCCTCTTTTCAGAATATAGATGGACTAGTCCTGGGTAAACTGCCAAATCGTTGCGCGTGGCGCTAACGTTTTTTATATTATAAATAAATAAATGCGCCGTTTACAAATAAATTTATGCGAACCAACACACCTGAAGACGACCGTTTGAGTTATGGTCGAAACGTCGTGAGAATTTTTTATTGTTTTTTATATATTTTATTCTTCTTTGGTTCTTTCGGTAAAGTCACGTAGAATGAGAATAAAATAATAAATTGATAAAATAAAATAACACAATAATATTTTCACGACGTTTCGGCCACAACACAAGCGGCCTTCATCAGGTGAAGGGAGCGAGACTGTCTGGTAGGACAGCGCTGGAGTGAGAGAGCCACGTTCAGATCTCAACTAATCGAGTCTCTCACCTTTCTGAAGAGATGCCGCGACTCTAAGCTTAAAAGCCGTGATCTGAACGTGGCTCTCTCACTCCAGCGCTGTCCTACCAGACAGTCTCGCTCCCTTCACCTGATGAAGGCCGCTTGTGTTGTGGCCGAAACGTCGTGAAAATATTATTGTTTTATTTTATTTTATCAATTTATTATTTTATTCTCATTCTACGTGACTTTACCGAAAGAACCAAAGAAGATGAATCATTGCAGTCACGAAAGCTTTAAATCGAAATATATTTTATTATTTTGCTGTTTCTCTTCAACGTGACTTTACCGAAAAAACTAAGAATATACAGGAAGAAATAGATGTACTCGCCAAATAAGAAACGATACATTGCCTTACTACCACCAAACTATGCTAAATGCACAATACTTCAAATGGACTTGTGAAAAGAGCTTTAAAGCTTATCGGATTCCTCCAGTATAAAGAAATATTCTGATATTGAACGTCTTTCATCTCTAATCAACAGTTCAACCACTTGACATCATAATTTCCCAGTATCCATCAGCATGGATTATGTTAAGCATGGTTTATAGGCGACTTGTTATCTTAATCTCAAGCCTGGATAAATATATGCAGTAGTTAAGAGATCGCCAGTCAGATACCTTCATCAATAACGTTGGTGTTCCGCAAAGTTGTTTCATCTCCAACATTATTTGTTCTCTTTATTAATTATTTTACTCATATGATCCCCTCCTTTGCAGATGACAGTGCACTTTATTGAAATCACAAGATGAACGCAATAGACATCTAGCTGTTCAATGTGCACATGCCGCACCATCAATCACTATTTGAAACTTCTGGATTGGAGTGATAGAAACTGGGTCACCTTCAACAACAAAAACACAAAGTGATATCGCGTGAGACTGGTAATATCTGTTTGGTACAACAAGCACGCCTGACCTGTCATGGAATAGCTATATTACTAACCTGGTTAAGGAGGCTTCAAAGGCTTTGCTTTTTTTGTGTGTGAATGCCTTATTGAACAAAAAAATATATACCATGACTAGACAAATCATAACTTTGGCCAACGTTGGAATACTGTTGTCAAATCTGGGGTGGAGCATCCAGTTCATACCTCACAATGCTGGATATAATTTAAAGCAGTTCGGTTGATTGGTGATCCGGCACTTACAGATTCACTCCAGACACTCACTCACTGGTGGTGTCTTCTTATCACTCTTATAATCAATACTACCACGGTTACTTTTTCCATGAACTTAACTAATTAATTCCTCCAATCCAAGTGAAGAACTCGGTCTACAAGAGAGGCGGTTTAATCTTAACCAAAGTGTATCTTAACCAAACTGTATCTCTTTCTGCTTCCTTCCCTGCACTGTTCTAACTACAACATTGTCTCATCATCTCAAATTCCAAGTTCTCATAATAATGCTCAATCCAAGAAATGTGTGAACACTCATCTCTTACGCCTCTAATTGTGCTGTTGGGAACAGCCACTTAGCCTTGTTTGGGCATTTGGACCTGTTCTTCGCAATCGGAAATAAAAGTTTTTAAAACAAATGCTAAATAGTCAATCAGGACTGATAACTCAATCATCAGAACATACATTTTTTTAGTTTTGCTATGAGAAAGATGTTTGTTTTGCTGGCATTCAATATATTTTTGTGTGTGTGTGTAGTTACATCCAAGTTAATAGAATGTAAGGTGGCTCACACCAGTAATCTAACATTTGATTATGCAGACACACGACTACCAAAACCAATTGGGCCATAAGATGGATAGGTGGAATTACAATAAATTAGTTGAAGTCATCTGCGTGGGCATTTGAGTGTAATCCCCTCGTGTCTGTGGATTTCCTTTGGGTACTCCGGTGTCCTGTGATGGGACTCATGTCCCCATTTCTAATCTATATCCATGTGGGAAATCTTTATCGAGAAATTCATTCCTCTGGAACTTCATTTTCAAATGCACTGTGGTTCTCGAGTAATTTTTTCTGGATGCTTAATTTTGCTCTAAATAAAATCTCTTCTGTTAGTTTGCAAACTCTTTTGTCAATAACGCTGTCTTGATGCGATCCCTTTCTCCTTCAGAATGCATGTCTAAGCTTTATTACTGAAATGGATAAGGCCTCAACCCTGCAATTCCATTTAGTTGTTGAGTGTTTTGATGATTGCAGATATGTTCAGGCATAATAGGGGTAAGCTCCATAACCAGTACTGTGAGCCTTGCCATCCCTCGGCACGAGGCACATACAACCTCTGACACTGGTCGTATACAACTTCTTACGTAGATAGAGGTTTCTTAATCTTTACATCCAAGTAGTGTAGATATTTTAAGGGCCAATATGTTTACCCAGAGCTACGAGTAACAACTGGCGCAGCTAACTGGTTTGTAATTTTCAATTCGTTTCGAGCTGTTGAAGATGACTTGATATGATCTTTGCTCTCCTGATATATTCCTCACTGGCCATCTTCCTCATGTCATTGTGTTTGATAGCTGTTCCCACATGGATGCCGATCTCCACTGTGGGTCAAAATGTGTACTTTAAGGCTTTATTAATTAAAACTACTCCCACACACAGATCACATGTGGTTTCTCTCCCGTGTGGGTTTTCATGTGATTCTTCAGGGTTGTAGAGTGCCTAAAGTCCTTCTTACATGCAGAACACTTATATGGTTTCTCTCCCGAATGGGTCTTCATGTGACTCTTCAGGGATGTAGAGTGGATGAAGTCCTTCTCACACACAGAGCACTTGTATGCCCTTTCTCCCGTGTGGGTTAACATGTGACTCTTCAGGCCTGTACACTGCTTAAAGTCCTTCTCGCACAGAGAGCATTTGTGTGGTCTTTCTCCCGTATGGGTCTTCATGTGACTTTTCAAGGCTGTGTATTGCTTAAAGGCCTTCCCACACACAGAGCACTTGTGTGGCCTCTCTCCCGTGTGGGTCATCATGTGATTCTTCAGTTCTGATGGGCGAATAAACCCTTTCTGGCACACGGAGCACCTGTGGCGCCACTCTCCCGTGTGGTTCCTCATGTGCCTCTTGAGCTGCACCGACTCCGTGAATCCCTTTCCGCACATCGAGCACTTGTGTGGGCTTTCGCCCGTGTGGATCATCATGTGACTCTTAATGGCTGATGGCCGACTGAATCCCTTTCCGCACACGAGGCACTTGTGCACCTTCTCTCCGGTGTGCATAGTGGCGTGGTTCTGAAGGGTTGACAAGCGGCCGAATCCCTTTCCGCAGACGGGGCACTTGTGTGGCCTCTCTCCCGTGTGGGTCATCATATGAGTCTTCAGTACAAATGAGCGACTAAACCCCTTCCCACACACGGAGCACCTATGGCTCCACTCTCCAGTGTGGTTCCTCATGTGGTCCTGGAGCTGCATTTCCTTTCTAAATTCCTTTCCACACAATGCACACTTGTGCGGGCAATCGCCCGAATGGATCACCACATGGCACTTCAAAGCAAATGGTCGACTGAATCCCTTTCCGCACACGGGGCATATGTGTGGTTTCTCCGTGGCGTGAATCGTGGCGTGGGTCGCAAGGGTTGATGAGCGATTGAATCCCTTCCCACACACAGAGCACCTGTACGGCTTCTCTCCGTTGTGGATGCTCATGTGATTCTTGAGATTTGATGCGGTAACAAAAGCATTCTCACACATGTAGCACTTGTACGGCTTCTCTCCCGTATGACTCATCACATGGTTCTTCAGATCCGATGGACGAACAAAGCTCTTGCTGCACACGGAGCATTTGTGTGGCCTCTCTCTGATGCTCGTCGTCGGGGCATTTGCTTGGGAGTGTATCTCCAGGCCATCGTTCACAACTGTTCCTGTCACACAAACAGACATTTTTTTTCATTGGCGTGAAATCATGAGACAAAGAAGCCATATGGATCCTGCGCAGAGTATCGCACCACTTAATGTAGGGGAAAGGCACCACAAAAGCAGTTATCACCAAACCACCTCGAAGATTGCTTTAAATTACCTAAAACTATTTCAAAACTAATTTGTTTATTTTACCAGGTAAGGCCCACTGAGCTATGTAGCTCTTTTTCAGAAGCGACCTGGCCACAAATGATAGCTCAACAAAGTGGTTTATGATGTGGAATTTGTAGCAGCCAAATACTCGAAAGGCATGTTTCTAAATGTGGAGCGAAAAGCCAGACCTGGAGAAAAATCCACGCAATTACAGGAGGAAAATGCAAACTCCAAATATACAGGCGTCAGGGCCGGGATCGAACATGCAAATTCCAAATATACACCTGTCCTGCCACGTGAGAGTAATGTTTTTTTCCCAATAGTCAAACCAATATTAACACACCAGAGCTGGTAATTTGGCCAAATTAATTGCAGACGCACATTTTAATGCGATTCTTTTTTGCAGTGATTGGTGGGAGAGCTATGAACATCAGCCTACGACACTTGAACTTGGAATCTCAGCCGTGTCATCTCAGTCCTCTGAACTCTTGAGCCACCCAGCAAGTTCCAGAAGAAACATTTTAAACTATCTGAAAATGTTTCTCCACGATTCACACACAGGGATCCTGCACATGACAGCCTTGCCAGCTACACGTGCCAATAACGTGTTATGGGAAAGGGTTAATTTTGAAATGTATAAACAATTATTAACGTCATTCTATAGCTAACATTTCTCAAGTAACATAATTTATGGTTAATGCTTTAAAATTAAAATATACAAGGTGAATTGTACACCTGAGAAATTACATCAATGTACAATTACTGTAGTCTCTTATAATATTTCTGCATTGGCTCAATTTGTCCTATTAAGCAATGCTGTGATTAGACTTTTTTTCCATGTAAATTTTTTTGGAATTATCTTGGATTACTACAAACTCTGTCATGAAAATGAAACAACCTGTGCACGTATATCAACAGTTATCAGAGTACATAAAAACAAATTCTAACAATATGGGATTGCTGGTACCTCATTTTGGCAAACTGATAATAGTTATATTTTTCAAAATGTTGCTACCAGATGGCAGCAGACGATTGTGTGCGCCCAGAACACAAAAAGCTACATTTAGTCATCTGAAATACAGGCAGAGCTGGCTTAGCGCAATGGCGTAGAACGCCAATCCGTGATAGTGCTCTACAAAGGAAGCGCTTACGAGTGAGACCACCTGGCGCTGGCCGAGGTCACGTACCACTGCCATGATTCACTTAGCCAAAAAGAGAGCGACATACGCCGAGAGAACCAGACCCCACCCCTGGCAATTAGATTATCACATAAGGTACTCAGAATGCCATAAACAAATATAGATTGTTTTCTTTCAACGTGAGCCAGGTGAGAACTCACAGGACCAGGGTAGAGTCTCAGGGTCCACCTAAAAGAACCTCACCACAAACATTTAGACTGAGGGCATCACTCAGATTACAGAGGTCATAGAGCTCCAACCTCATTTCCCACCACTGCCTTGTAAAAAGAGTATGGTAGAATGCACTCGTCAGTACAGTGCATAACACTTACTGTTGTTAAATTTTTTAAATTTATTTATGAACTGTTTATCATCTCCGTTATTATGAGCACTATTACCGATGAAGCCCTCATATTGTTCATAGGAAAGAAATAACGCCGTTGGGAATGAATCCCCATATATGCAGTGGTATAATGACCCCTCTTAGCGTGGATTCGATTTGCGCTCACTTCTTCAGGAACGTATCTCGAGCACTAAGCGAGGTCTGCCTGCATCAGGCCTATCCACAAGACATTGCTAGGTATTGAGAATAGACGGAACCAGCTGTGAAAGGGTTAGGAGACCTCCCTCCTCATAATGACCCATACACATGGAGCTCCCTCTATCAATGACGTCCTCCAAAGGCACCTCCAGCATGTCGACAGTTTGGGGAGGCCTCTGTGCCAGACATCAACGACCAAGACACACGGATCTCCCCCCTCCTACCCTCCCTCCTTACCTTCGTCGTCCACCTCCACTTCGATCTCCGCTACGCCTGATGATGTTGCACAGTCTCCCCGTGAGGCCCGTGAGGCCCGTGACTCTCCAGGTCTCACAGATGAACCATTGCCAACCAGTAGATCTTTAAGGTCGACCTCCACAATGTGCAGGTCCTGTCGTTCAACCTGCCGCTTCTCTTGTTTGATGTGAAGTTCTCGGCCATTGGTGCTTGGGTTCTCCTGTTTAATGTCCAGACTCCTCCCATCAGCCTGAACATTCTCCTCTTTAATGAGAATGTCTGCTACTTTAGCTGAGAGATGAAATGACAGGTGAACAATGAACAGATATACAAGCATGGACTCATGCTACATGTAAAACAATCAACTTGTCCATAAAACAATCATCTTGCACGTAAAACAATCTTCACTCACCTGTTTATGATCCTCCCTTAAAACAACCCCCATCTTTTCTGACTAGCCCATACTGCTACTGATATTGCCTGCCCCCAGCTATGACCAGGCCTACTGCTACCCCTATCAATACCCCTATCACTACCCCCACCCCTATCATTACCCCCACCCCTATCACTACCCCAACCCCTATCACTACACCTACGCTTATCACTTCCCCTATCACTACCCCAACCACTATCACTACCCTAACCGCTATCACTACCCCAATCCATACACTACCACTATCACTACCTCTACTCCTATCAATACTCCTATCACCACCATATCACCACCACTTTCACTACACCTATCACTACCCCTCTGTAACCACTCCCACGTGTTCTGTCACCATAACAACACAACTACTTAAAAATCCCCACTCCTCATCTCAGCCACTATCATCACAATTTTATAATTGTTATAAAGCGCCTTGGAATAAGGCGCTAAATTAATCTAGGTATGATTAGATGATGCATCTGCACCATGAAAACACAGTGACGCATCATCATCCGTGGTTAATCCACTCTTGGATGAAGGCCTCCCCAAGCCGCCACCATATCTCATGATCCTGCGATGTCAGAATCAGAATCTCTATTTAGACTGGAGGAGGAATCCGATGAGCCATTAAGCTCTTTTTTCACAGATGTCCAATAGGGGCACTGGGTCAGAAAGTTACAACAATACAAAAAATAGATAGGAGTGCAAAGTATAGGAAAAGTAAGCAAATCACAAAAAAAAACAAATAAAATAAAAAGATCCAAAAGAGGTTTTTGAGTTAGATCGCATAAATATAAATGTGTCGTTAAACCTACCATGACCCAACACAGCCACTTAGTAAGGTTTGTCATGTAAACAAAACAAAGCAATTAGTTACTAGTTCAGCAAACCGGTCTGTTTGAGAGTATGTAAACCCACGACAACATTTACAATTCAAGTACCGTGACGTTTCGCCAGTAATTACAACAACTTAGCCTGATCAGGTGACAGCCAGAGTTGTGGAGAAATTATCGTCCTGTTTCTGTCCTAAATAGAGGGATAAATGTGAAGTCGTAACTGCCGAGCTAATCAAGTGTGAAGACCAGTGGGGTGAGGTTAATATATTCATAAACATATATGCATATCTATTACCAATTGGGCTATTTATATGGTAATCAATATACATAATGTGTATGCAGAACACGTATGTGTGATGCAAATACATTATGCGTGCACATTATTAATGCATACCATGCATGCACAATCCTGACGTTATTGGGTGCAAGAAATCACAATATCTGTTATTGGCTGCTCACAGTTAATCACCATCGACATATGGTGACCTGTATAAGCCTGCAGTTAAACAGGGTATTACTGTTGACTTGATAATACGTCCTTTCTAGCTCCATGCAAAACAAGTTACTACTGGTCAAGACAAATTTAGAGAAATAAAACATTTTTTTACCGTTCTGATAACTACAGCCTTAGTGCTGCTTGGAAGCATATTATCAAGCAATAATACAATGTTTAACTGCATACCTATACAGGTCACCATACGTCGATGATGATAAACTGTGAGCAGCAAAGAAGGTATTGCGATTTCTTGCACCCAAAAACGGCAGGATATGCATGCATGATGTGCATGCATAATGTATGTGCATCACGCATACGCGTTGTGCATGCAGATTACACATGTTGATTAACCTCTGAATAACCCAACCAGTGATAGATATACATTTATATGCATGCATTAACCCCCCCCCCCCGCCACCTCTGGCCTTCGCACCTTATTAGCTCACAAGCAACGACATCACATTTAGCATCTATATTTCATACAGAAACAGGAGGATGATTTCTCCACAACTCTGGCTGTCGCCTCATTAGGCTTGTTGTAATCGCTGGTGAAAAATCACGGTATTCGAATTGTAAATGTTTTAGTGAGTTTACTCTCCAACACACCAGTGTGCTGAATTAGTAACGAATTGGAACGTTATATTTACGTGGAAAACCTTACCAAATGGCTGTGTTCAGGTGGGAGCAGGTTTAACAACAATATTCACTCAATCTAACCAAAAAACCTTTTTTGTGGATATTATTGGATGCGAAAGACCTGACAAGTGATAACGAAGTGGCTAAATGTGGAAGGAAAAAACAGAGAACCCGGAGAAAAAAATCCACATGACCACGGGGAGTGAGAGAGAGACATGCAAACTCCAAATATACAGCAGGTGTCAGGGTCAGGATCGTATCCCCAACCTCCTGCATACCAGGAGAGGAAAATAACATCTCGAAACCGTGATGCAATAATCCACCCGGCACCTACACGCGAGCTGATTTCATCGCTCCTTCTCCACACTCTACTCTCAAGCGTATTCCCTCCATCGGCTGCCATTGTGACGTTAGTCTTGACCACAGGCCTTTATCCCTTCTAGTTACCTGTCCTGCCCTAAATCCACTTGCTTTTCTTAACTCTCATCCATTCTCTCACCATTGAATGGAACAAAAACGGTGCACAAAAGCATTGCAGATACGCTTGCTTTGAACTTTATTGAGAGACAACGGAGTCTCACATAGCTCTTATTAACCCTTCCCGTTCCGATGACATGCGTGTACGTACGTCTTCGTCATCGAAATGAATCCGGAATAAAATCTAAAATAAAATAACTTTATCGGTACCGAGGCTCCCAAAAGGCCATGCGGGGGGGGGCATGTGGCACAGTTTGGCGCCAGCTATCGTGGTTGTGTCGCTACGTTTCTCTGCGGTGTTGAGTAACAACGTCTTTAGAAACAACGGTGCTGCTTACTGTGCCTCTCTGAATCAAATTAATACCGAGCCGCTTGGGAATTCCGAGATTCAGAGGTGAACGGGACACCCACCCTGCAACTTGCAGATGTCTCGGAACGGGAAAGGATTCAGATGAATATTGCATTTACAACGTCAACAATTGGTTTAGGCCATCACCAGTCGTCGCTGGAGAGACAACTCTCACCGTGATTGTTGTCTTGAGTCTCCACTTTCACTGGCAGCCAGATCGTACTGCCAGGCTTCTCCTCATCGTCCCGCATAATAAACGTATCCATGAGCACGGAAGGAGCCAACCTCCTCGAGTCTGTCCCAAGGAAGACGCAGCAGAGGGAGAGACTCAAGCTCAAGCTGCTGCTGCTCACCGAGAGTTTCGAGAGTGAGGGAAGCAACAGCAAATCACATTTGTAATACACACACAACGTAGCACACATCTCTGAGTGCAGAATTATAAACTATTTTTTATTTCGTTTAACACGTAGGCTTTCGCGACCAATATCATCCATAAGGTTTTTTGGGTTAGATCGCGTAAATATGTGTCGTTAAAACCCGCCACCACCCGACACAGCCAACTGTGTCACGTAAACAGAACCTGCCAATTCGTCACTAGTACAGCACTAACCGGTGTGTTGGAGAGCCAAGCCACAATATTTACAATCTGAGTACGACGTTTCGCCAGTAATTACAACTAACTTCATTAGGCGACAGCCAGATTTGTGGAGAAGTCTGTTTCGTTCCCTATATCGAGGCGTAGATGTGGTGATCGTACTTCTGCGCTCCTGCGCAAAGTGGGGGGGGGGGGGGGGGGGTTGGGATGAGTCAACATACATTATGCATGTGCATTATGCGAGCCCTTTCATCTTGTCCTTCCTGTCTTGTGTATTAAAATAGCCGTACGAACGGCAATCCCTATAGAAGTATGGTGCCCTTTATAAGCATGCATTTAAATAATGTATTATTTGATGATTTTAGCAGGTAAGGACCCACGGAGCTACGCAGCTATTTTTCAGAAGCGACCTGGCCACACGCAAATGATAGCTCAACAAAGTGGCTTTTCATCACGTGTAAATTCATCGCGATGACCATGCAGAAGAGTCACCGCAACACCCCGGCATGTGCCTGTGTCCTCCACACAATCATCAAAATCTGTATTTAGACTGGAAGAGGAATGGGATGAGATAAATAATTTTTCACAGATGTCCAGTAGGGGGCACGGGGTCAGAACGTTACAACCAACAATACACAAACACACGATAGGAGTGCAAAGTCTAGTAAAGGTAAACAAATCACTAAACATAATTAAATATCTAAAACTACAACTAAACAATTTTTTTTACCAAGCATGTATAGCTTTTTATCAGAAGCGACCTGGCCATCACAAATGACAGCTCAGCGAAGTGGCTGATGCCATCATCACCGCGTGGACATTGATAGCGGCAGCCAAATCCTCTGAACGCGCGATGCCGATTTTTAAATGTAGAGGGAAAAGCCGGAGACCCGGAGAAAAATCCACGCAATCACCACGGGGAGAGACACACCGCAGCCTCCACGTGTACATCAGGCGTCAGCGTAGAAAGGATCGAACCCCCACGCACCTCCTGTATACCGGGCGAGGTAGTTAACATCTCCTAGCCCAAATTTTGATTTAAAGCTTTCGTGACTGCAGTAATTCATATTCTTAGTTTTTTCGGTAAAGTCACGTTGAAGAGAAACAACAAAATAATAAAATATATATAAAACAATAAAAAAATATCTCCTAGCCCGTTCTCCCTGCTCCTCTTGTTGCTGCATTTAGAGCATTTGGCTTCTGCTATGAATGTCCATGCGGTGATGATATCCGCCACTTCGCTGAGCTGCGAGCATTGCGTGTGGCCAGGTCGCATCCGACAAAGAGCTTCACAGTTTAGTGGGCGGCTGTGGGCCCCTTACCTGGTAAAATAAAACAATTGTTTAGTTTTAGTTTCGGTATTGATGAGTATGAGTCTTTACGAGTTTCTGTGGGTCTCTGTGGTTATATACGCGTACTGTATGTATCTCTATGGTTCATAAGTTGCAGAATCTACTTGTGGCTGCTATACATTTCCACGTGATAATCAATTTCGCCGAGTGAACATTTGTGATAGCCGGGTCGCGTCTGAAAACGCGCTACCCATTGGCTCAGTGGGACTTACCTGGATAGATAAAAAAAAGAATCGTCTCGTTTAAGGGGCAGCAGCAGCAGCAGAGCGGCGGCCCGGCCTCTTGCGCTTCACAACGAGAACCCCAACCCGGAGCAGCAGGGGTAGCAGGAGAAGACGTAGGAGGAGCAATATGAGCAGCAAGGGGAAGGAGCAACAGGAAGTGCAGGAGCGGCAGCAGAGGAGGGAGCAGCAAGAGGAGTAGAGGATTGAGGAGCAATAGGAGCAGCAGGGGCAGGCCGAGTAGCAGCAGCAGCAGGGGCAGCAGCAGCAGCGAGAGCCGTCCCTGACGGCCTCTAGAGCTCCCCGGGTGGAGAGGCCGAGGAGGAGGAGGAGGGAGGCAGTGCGCGGAGCCCGCACGCACGCGGGGCTGGCTGGGGGGAACCCGTCCGTGCGGGAGGAGACGGAGCGGGCACGGGGGGCGGAGTAGGGGCCCGGAACCAGCAGAGTGGGGAGCAAGGGGGAGAGGGGGTGGGCCCGAGACCCACCCACAGGAAGCACGACGCCGGGAAGAGGAGATGGGGGACGAGAGATGTCACTTAAAGCGCAGACTCCTGGGGGCCCCTGGGGTATGCAGTATAATAAAATCTGCGTATCTGTGTGTGTATGTATCCGTGTGAGTGTATGTATCCGTGTGAGCGTATGTATCCGTGTGTATGTATCCGTGTCGTAGTTTGGTCATGATGCTGGCACCTGGTCTGGAGTGATTGTAGGGCATGGGCCAGATCAGCTCAATAACAACGGTAGGAGGCTGCTAGATTTTTGTGCAGCCCATGGGCTTGTAATTACCAACACGCTGTTCCGGCTTGGCGAATCCACACAACATCATGGATGCATGCCGGGTCCAAGCAAGAACATCTGCTGGACTACATAGTGACGGACCAGCGGATGCGAGCCCATGTCCTTGACACCATGACCTACCGTGGAGCTGATCTGCCCTCTGACCATCGACTAGTCATCTGTAAGATGCGCCTGCCATTCTTCCACTCCGGTGGTGGGTGTACACCCAGGACCCCATTCCAACCTAAAGTGGCCTGGTCTTAGTTATCTGATTAAAGTTGCAAGCGAGAATTTCATCATCGCTTGCGGCTGGGGTTGGCATCGTCCCCCACTCCTTCTGATGTCGAGGGTAAATGGGCGAGGTACTCTTTGGTTCTATTCGGTAAAGTCACGTAGGTAAAAAATAAAACAACAAAAATCACGACGTTTCGGCCACAACACAAGCGGCCTTCATCAACACAAGACCGCTTGTGTTGTGGCCGAAACGTCGTGATTTTTGTTGTTTTATTTTTTACCTACGTGACTTTAACGAATAGAACCAAAGAGTATGGATCCTTGCAGTCACGAAAGCTTTAAATCTAGAATAAATGGGCGAGGTTTAGGGCTGTGACTCATGCAGCTGCAATGGCTGCTTTGGGTACGCGGTCCAGACCTCCCCAGAGACCCTGGCTGACAGAGGAGGTGTTCAGGATGGTTGAGAAAAAGCGACAGGCTCACTGTCATCGGCTACAGAATCCCACGTCAGAGAATGAGGAGGCTTACCGCAGCCTTCGCTCGGAGGTTCGGAGAGCCGTGAGGCGCTGCAAGGATGGGTGGTGGTCGCGGGTTGCTGAGCAGATGGAGTCTGCCTCAGTGGCCCGCGATCACAAATCTATATTTAACTCCATCAAAAAAGTAACCTGCAGCGCCACACCTATTACCATCATTCGGGGAAAAAACGGTGATCCAATCTCCGACCCCAGGAACAGGTTTGCAGATTTGCTGAGCATTTCTGTGAGGTCCTGGGGGAGTGAAAATCCCTCAGCCAGGAAAACATTGTGGCACAGAGTGAGGATGACCCTGCTGAGGCTGCGGTGCCTCAAATATTGGAAGAAGTCACCCCCCTGTGAGTGGCTGGCTGAAGTGCCATCTGTTGAAGTACTGAAGGCGATCCGGAGTCTGAGACCAGGAAAGGCAGCGGGCAGAGATGATCTCCCAAGCAAAATGCTGAGGGAGGGTGGCGTTTGTGCACAGACTGCCCTATATGACATCATAACAAGTCTGGACCACTGGATGGGTTCCGCAGGATTGGAAGGATGCCCTGGTGGTCCCCCTCTTTAAGAAGGGGGACCGCACAGCCTGTAACAACTACAGGGGCATTCTCACTCCTCAGTGTGCCGGGAAAGGTCCTGGCAAGGATTATTCAACATCGCCTTGCCAGGCACGCTGAGGAGAGGCTTGCGGAGCCCCAATGCGGTTTCAGGAAAGGGCGGTCCTGCACAGATGCCATATTTTCTGTCCGTCTGCTACAGCAGAGGTGTAGGGAATTCCAGCAAGACCTACATCTCTGCTTTATTGACCTGGTCAAGGCCTATGATACCATCAGTAGGCCTGGGCTCTGGGTTGTTCTTCGTGCTTTTGGAGTACCTGACCCTCTGCTCACGATCATTAAGGATCTTCATGATGGTGAGCGGGCCCGGGTAAAACTAGGTGGCCGGGAGTCAGAGCCATTTCCTGTACACCTTGGGGTGCGACAGGGATGTCCTCTGGCTCCCACATTATTTAACATCTATTTTGACCACGTAGTTTGTGAAGCCTTCAATAGCTGTACCAGAGGAATTTCCATCTGGTACAGATACAACGGGAGGCTGATCGATGCCCAGGTGCGGTCAAGGGATAGCTCCCTATTGCTCAACCATGTTATGTATGCCGAAGATCTAGTAATTGCTGCTCACTCAGGAGTTGGAGGCGCTGCTGCTGAACCTGGAGCTTGCCACTAAGAGGTGGGGCCTTACCATCAGCCCCACCAAAACTAAGCACCTGCCTGGGTATTTTGTACCATCGGACACTCCACCCCCACAACTCCCAATCGGTGATGGGGCAATTGTGGAGAGAGTTGAGAGTTTCCCATATGTGGGCAGTGTGCTTATGACCAGCTCCAGTTTAACAGCAGAGGTCTCACTCCGATTCAGTTGAGCGGCAATATCTTTTCATCGGTTGCGTAACGCTGTGTGGAAGCTACCTGGTCTGTCACTCCGCACTAAGCTTCAGGTCTTCTCGACCACAGTCATTCCCTCCCTTCTCTACGATTGCGAAACGTGGACCCCCCTAATGGAACATCTTCGCCGGTTAGAAACATTTAGGCTAGCCTGCCTACGATCCATCCTGGGTTTAACCAGGCTGGATTGTGTGAGGAGCTCACAAATCTTTGAAAGATCTGGGCAAGGTCCCATCGGTGAGCTCCTCCGGCAGGCAAGGCTGCGTTGGCTGGGTCATGTAGCCAGCATGCCCAGCCACCGCATGCCGAAACAGCTTTTGTTCGGCCGGATCGAGGGGGCTAAACGGGCGCGGCATGGGCTGGAGAAGAGATGGAGTGATGTGGTACGGGAGGACGTGGAGCTGAGTGGATTTGCCAATGACTGGTATCAGCAGTGTCAAGATCGGCCTCTGTGGAGGAGGCTCGTGAAGGACGCTACTGGGCAGTTGGAGGTAGTCGCCCTCCAACAACAACGGAGGGCGGAGAAGCGACGCTCACAACAACGAGCGGAGCGCCGGGTGGCTAAAGCACAGCAAGTTGGCACAGTAAGGGGCACAGGTGGTGCATTAGCCAGTCATCTCAGTCAGTCGACCCGTGGCACCTGGGTCTGCACCGTGACCTCCTGCCAGCGGGCGTTCGACACTTAACGTGGCCTCAAGGGGCACATGGCCTGGCACAAGTGTAGTGTTCGATTTCACTCGGACAGCTTCTGTCTTTCTTCGAACACCGCTTTATTTACAACTCTCAGCATGTCCTCCACATACCACAGTATCCTGGTCGCCACGGCTCGCTCGTCGTGCTTCACTTGACTCGCTCGCCACCTTTGTCTCTCCACTCCCCACCATTACTTCGCTTACTCCTTGTTAACTTCTTGTCTCTGCTCTCCGCTATCACCGTCGCTATGCTCTCTCCACTGCTAACTGCTTCGTCTCCGTTCACCGCTATCACCGTCACTATGCTCACTCCATTGCTAACTGCTTCGTCTCTGTTCACCGCTATCACCGTCACTATGCTCACTCCACTGTTAACTGCTTCGTCTCTTTTCACCGCTATCACCGTCATTTTGCTCACTCCACTGCTGGCTGTTCTCCTCGTCTTCAGCTCCGCTATCGCTACGCTCTCTCCACTGCTGGCTATTCTATTCTTCAGCTCCGCGATCACTACGCTCTCTCCACTGGACAGGGCGTCTAGTGAATCATCAATACGTGGGAGTGGATACGCTTCCGCCACAGAAACCTTATTTAGTTTTCGGTAGTCAACACAAAATCGCATTGCCCCATCGCGATTTTTAACGAGTACAATAGGAGCTCCCCACGGGCTGGATGAAGGAGAAATGATCTCCTGTTCTAACATCTCATCAACGGCTCGCTGAATACAATCTTTCTCCAGCGGACTTACACGATGGGTATTCAGTCTGATTGGGGGTGCATTCCCAG